AACTAACTTAGTCTACATATGCTACTAATGCTAATTTGGCTTATACTAACTTAAACTAACATATGTTAATTTTGGTTTAAAACAGGCAGGTGGGGGAGTCTCAAACTTCCTGATCCTCCCTGTGCCCATCTTAGGAAACTGCATTCCTACAGGATCACTAATTGACTTTATTATAAAGTTGCAGTAAGGTTTGGGTGTTATTTTACCCTTGCAGGGTACCATAATAACAGTAAAGCTCTCGGCAGAGAAATTGAGTGCAGGCCAGTACAGCGACACAATGGAAATTTAAGGCTCGTAAACCGCCGGCTTTGCCTCGCAGTTTCTTCCCAGTCCAGACCTTGACTTAGGCATGAGAGGCAGCCTCTTTACCAGCTTGTGTTAACTACATGGCCCCATCACCACACAAAGAAAATTGTTATTTTCCACCAAAATGGGCACAAATTAAGAAACATTCACCAAAGCAATGGCCACTTCCAAAGTGCCCAGAGTCTGTGTTCTGCTCAGTAAGGAGCCACCTCCTGGAGAGCATCTGAGAGGGTGGAGTGAGTGCGTGGTGATCTGAGTGTATCCTCTAATCCACCTGGTTGTGGCAGAGGCTGGTTAGCCTAATTTCATAGGGATATGAAAGGGACCATCACCCCCTGTACTTTCATGGGTGTGTGCTGGCCATGCCAGTCCTCAGACAATGGTGATATTATTTCATATTGCTTTTTCTTTAAGGAGGGGTGTGTTTCAGAAGCTTCCCCTTGTTCTTGCTAAGAATAATGGCCCTTAATGCAAAGATCAGGAAGGAATATGAGAGTTCCATCAACTCCCAAATGTGCCCATTACCATCACATTTCCAGAAGAGGTAAACAGCTGTGGTCTACTATCTCCACCTTGGGATCAATGAGAGTCAAAACTCTAGGTAGCATCTGGTACTTCAAAATTTCTACTCCATCCAGTGAATCACATCCAAGGAATCACGATGTTTTTCTGTTATTAAGATAATAGTTTAGTTCAGGCCCCACACATAAACGTCACAGAGAATAGGAATATCTGCCCCTTCCCTTGGCACTGACACCTAGCAATGGTAGCTGATCTTTGGAAAGCCACTTTAAGATCACATCCTGATATATTCTTATATAAAATTTATTCAAATATATATATATACATTTATTTTCTGAGAAAGAGAATTTCAAAAGGTCCTAATGATATGAACTACCTCCAAAACCATCCAACTCAGATTATGGACCCACCCAGCTTGTAGTGAGAGGCCCCGGGACTTAATCCTGGAGCATTCCCAATGTGTGCAGTTGTGTTACTGTTTGCCTCTGTCTGGCACCCATCCTGCAGGGATCTTTCAGATTCTTTATCAAGGGAATTTAGACTTCCTTTCAGTGACTGACTTTGCAGGCTCAGTTCTAAAAACTGGGTGGGGTCTTAAATTTTTTTATTTCAAAAGCTTAATCAACTTTTTCTTCATTGTTTTTCTCTTGTGAGATAGCATTTATCAAACTCTGGAGCCTCGTCAAGTGCTGACAGCTGAACCCACATCAATAAGGCTGCTGCTCTCACAGTTCATGAATTCTGATCCTGCCAAGGTCACCAGTGAGTCCACTTTGCCAAAACTCCATTGTCATCTCTTGACCTCTCAGTTACATTGGACAGTTTACTTGCTTTTATGACACTGCCCTCTGCTTTTTTTTTAATCCTTGCTTATTGGATAAAGCCTGTTGTCCCTCTTCACTAGCTCTGCCTCTTTTACCTAACCAACTCAGATGGCCTCAGACCTCAGTTCTTCAGTTTCTAACCAGTTCTCTTTACTTTGTTGGTGATCTCATTCAGTCTCCTTACTGAGAATGTAGCCAGGCAGTTCCACAGAAATGACCAGTGCTGATTATTTATTCGTAAACATTTATATTCAAATATATACATTAGTGACTTACATAGCTCACATTATATGATTTTTTTTCTGTCTCAACTGCTAAATTTATTTTAAGAAGGAAACTTTCCAAAATATCAGAAGAAATTTTCAATACTAATTTTGCTTGAATTTTTGCTAACTCAGAGGATGATCTGGCATCCTAGCTTTACTTAAAATAGTAAGTATTGGTAAATTTGTAGACAGTGGGATTTTCATTGTCAAGTTAATGATCGAAATAGAGAAATATATTCATAGAACTGTGGTTGTTTGCTCCTTCTTTGATCTCTTGTATTTGCTACATTCAGTATACAAAACTGTTCATGAACAATATATTCCTTTTTTTTGGAGAGGTTTTTGCTACAGGGTGCTTGCGCTCGCCAGAAAGACAGAGAGGCGGAGAGACAGAAAGCGAGAAATCACCCCCCTGGGGGGATGACCACACCACAATCCCTTCTCCTCCATTCTCGTCTTGGGGTCTTGGGTACACATGCACACGCGCCCGGCGTGAGTTTAAGCCACTGGGACTGGAACTCGAATCACAATCGACTACATGGGAGTCCAGTGACATAGCCATTGCACTAACTACTGGTCCCCATGGACAATATATTAAAATAAAACAACAAAGCTCTTCCATATGCAGCTCAACATAGCTTTGACACTGAAATGGATGAAAACAAAGGCTCTTTTCTCAGGAATACCTCATAATTCTGATTTCTAGGTATGACATGTGGCAATTATCCATGTTGCCACTCTTGCCTTGTGCAGGAAGATTTGTCTTTCCTAAGAGCTGCTGTTCTGATAAAAACCTGAAGTGTTTCTATCCAGACTATAATGGTGCCGTGACAAGGGTTCTGAAAAAGCTCCTCTGAAGTGAGTGTTCTCTACCGGAACCTGAGCTCTGATTCCTTTCTAAGAACCCATGAGGTTTCAGGACCAGCCCCCACCACCCCATCCTAACCCAATGGGGTTTACACTTTGCTTCATCTTCTTTCCCAAACTGATGTTTGTTGCCTTGACATGTCAAAGCAGGGAATCTTCCTGCCTTTGCACTGAGGCTCTGTTTGTGCTTCTAGTCTTAGGATCTTTTCCTTAGAAGTTTTCAAAGTTATTCTATTCCATCTTAGTGTGTCCACTCCTAAATTCTAGGTCACTTGTGAGAATGTTCATATATTTATTTCACTGTCTTTGCTCACTATTGCTTCAGTACTGAGGGAGAGTCAGCCCTCTAGACTGGGTTGTCTCACATTTTGTCATTTTTGCACTTTCTAAGATGTGTTTTTCTACTCTCTTTGGAAGCTGTTGCTAAGTGGCTTTCTTAGCTCTCTTTAGCTATTGAGGGAGAAAGGTTTTGTCAGGCTGTTATTCCACTTTCCTGATCAGTTAGTCTAAAGTTCTGTGTCCACCTTGCTGCCTACTGTGAGGGTTGGGGAGCACAGGTTCTGGGAGTATGAGGTTGTGTGGGCACCATGGTGTTTGGTTTTGAAGGAAAAATGTACCTTAATGGGCAGGAAGAAGTGCAGAGGAGGAGAGCTCTTGCTTTGTGAATTAACTCATACATACTCAGAGACTGGTCTGGGGGACAACAGATAGACTTCTACCTCTTCTCCACAGAAAATAATACACCCAAATTTTATTCAGTATTTACTAATGTCTTTGTGACTATCACAGTAGTAAGCATCATCTAGATGCATAATAGATGTTGAAGACATGAAATTCCTGAATTATTTCTAGATGAAAGTAAGAATATTTTTATTCCGAAAAGTGTGTGTATGTGTGTGTGTGTGTGTGTGTGTGTGTGTGTGCATGTAAAGTAAAATGATGTAAAGTGATTAGTCTCAGTATCTAGCCTACTAGGAATTATGACCTTCAAGAAATTATTAGAGGGACCAGCAGTTAACGTACTGGCTATGTCACTGGACTCCCACATAGTCGACCGCAGTTCGCATCCCAGACCCGGTGGCTTAAAACTCATGCCGGGCACATGTGTGTGCGTGCCCAAAGTCCCAAGAAGAGAAGGGATTGTGGCATGGCCTTCCCCCCAGGGGGTGATTTCTTGTTTTTTGTCTCTCTGTCTCTCTCTGTCTGTCTGGCGAGTACACGTGCCCTATGGCAAGAACCTCTCAAAAAAAAAAAAAAAAAGGAAATTATTAGAAAACACTGATCCTTTATAAAAAGAGCTTCGGACAATGTTGAAAGCATCTTTATAAAAACCTATTATAAAAGAAAATCAAGTATGATCAATCTTTCTTCCTTTTTCTCTTATTCTTTCCTTTCCTTCTTTTTTCTTCTGCCTTTCTTTTTCTCTTTATAAACCAACAAACTATAGTCATATATGGTATGATGTACAAAGTGATGATATGATGTATGAATAAAATATGAAATAATTCAGTTAAGGTACTTATCATTTCTTCTGACTCAAGAACTTCTCAGGTTTTGTGAGAAAATTTGAAATATAGTGTCTTAGAAATTTTCTAAGAGGTAATACCCTTCATTACCATGGTTAGCATATTTATCTATATATCTCAAAAATAGAAGCCAAAACAAATAAAATCAGACTAATTTCTCCTGTCTCACCAGGCTTCACAGCCTTTGACTATCCTCTCTCTATTCCTCCTCCTGGGATCCCTGATGTGTTCTAGAAACATCAGTGCTCAGTATGTTCCACATACTACTTTACATGCTTGTGGTCTGGTACATGTGTTAGAATCTTGTAATGGTATTCACTAGGAACTCAAGTTGCCAGAGTCAAATATGTAGATGTGGCAAGAAGAACAAACGACAAAAATAGTATATTTTTGCATGTTAGCAAATGAGAATTAAGCATTTCCTTCACCACCAACTACAAAAGACTCCAGCCTACACTGTTTAAGGCACACAGTCCCTAGGTGAGGCTCAGTGGGGCCATCTGGGGAAATACAAGGATTTTTATAAAGAAAGCTGTGAACCCCATAATTGGCAAATCATGACGTTTGCTAGTTTTTTATTTTGTACACAGCTTTTATAAAGGGAGTGTGCTGCTAGCAGAGCATTTTAGGTAAATGTATTAAGAAATATTCAGCAGAGATATTTCACATTGGGGTATTCTTTACAGACAATGGGTAATGTCATAGGCAGCACACTTACAATCATTCTGAGTGTGCAATTCATGATTGGAAATGTAGGGAATGGATTCATCGCACTGGTGAATGGCATCGACTGGGCAAAGAGAAGGAAGATCTCCTCAGCTGATCGAATTCTCACTGCTTTGGCGATCTCCAGAATTGGTCAGCTCTGGTCAGTATTCACAAATTGGTGCCTTTCTGTGTTCAATCCAATTTTGTTCATGAGTGAAAAAGTGTTCAGAATGCTTAATACCACCTGGGTTGTGACCAATCACTTTAGCATCTGGCTTGCTACCTGTCTCAGCATCTTTTACTTCTTCAAGATTGCCAACTTTTCTAACTCTGCTTTTCTCTACCTAAAGTGGAGAGTGAAAAAGGTGATCTCAGTGGGACTGCTGGTGACTTTGGTCCCCTTGGCATTTAATGTTGCACTGACAACCACGCATACTAATGTCTTGTTCAGTGAATGTAACAGAAACATGACTTGCAGTTCCAGTTTTAGCAATTTGCCACAGTTTGTTAGTCTTCTTTTAATTATCAACAGTATGTTCACTTTCATACCTTTTGCTGTGACACTGACAACCTTTCTCCTGCTCATCTTCTCACTCTGGAAACACCTCAGGACAATGCAACGTGATGCCCAAGGACCTAGAGATGCCAGCACCAAGGCCCACATAACAGCCCTGCAGTCCGTGATCACCTTCCTCCTGCTCTATGCCATTTTATTTCTGTCTTATTTTATACCAGTTCTCATCTCTTATTCCGTGAATGAAAATCTGATTCTCATGATTTCCCAGACTACTGCTATTACTTTCCCTTCAGGCCACTCATGTGTCCTGATTCTGGGAAACAATAAGCTGAGACAAGCGTTCCTCTCAGGACCTTGGGGGCTGAGGTGGATGTTCAAAAGAAGGGACCCTTGGGACCAGCAGTTAGGATAATGGTTATGTCGCTGGACTCCCAAGTAGTCGACTGCGGTTCAAATTCTAGACCCAGTGGCTTAAACTTGCGCCGGGCACGTGTGCGTGTGTGCCCAAGATCCCGAGAGAATGGAGGAGAAGGGATTGTGACGTGGCCATTCCCCCTGGGGGGTGATTTCTCACTTGCTGTCTCTCTGTCTCTCTCTGTCTGGTGAGTGCACGTGCCCTATAGATCACATTTCCAGAAGAGGTAAACAGCTGTGGTCTACTATCTCCACCTTGGGATCAATGAGAGTCAAAACTCTAGGTAGCATCTGGTACTTCAAAATTTCTACTCCATCCAGTGAATCACATCCAAGGAATCACGATGTTTTTCTGTTATTAAGATAATAGTTTAGTTTAGGCCCCACACATAAACGTCACAGAGAATAGGAATATCTGCCCCTTCCCTTGGCACTGACACCTAGCAATGGTAGCTGATCTTTGGAAAGCCACTTTAAGATCACATCCTGATATATTCTTATATAAAATTTATTCAAATATATATATATACATTTATTTTCTGAGAAAGAGAATTTCAAAAGGTCCTAATGATATGAACTACCTCCAAAACCATCCAACTCAGATTATGGACCCACCCAGCTTGTAGTGAGAGGCCCCGGGACTTAATCCGGGAGCATTCCCAATGTGTGCAGTTGTGTTACTGTTTGCCTCTGTCTGGCACCCATCCTGCAGGGATCTTTCAGATTCTTTATCAAGGGAATTTAGACTTCCTTTCAGTGACTGACTTTGCAGGCTCAGTTCTAAAAACTGGGTGGGGTCTTAAATTTTTTTATTTCAAAAGCTTAATCAACTTTTTCTTCATTGTTTTTCTCTTGTGATATAGCATTTTTCAAACTCTGGAGCCTCTTCAAGTGCTGACAGCTGAACCCACATCAATAAGGCTGCTACTCTCACAGTTCATGAATTCTGATCCTGCCAAGGTCACCAGTGAGTCCACTTTGCCAAAACTCCATTGTCATCTCTTGACCTCTCAGTTACATTGGACAGTTTACTTGCTTTTATGACACTGCCCTCTGCTTTTTTTTTAATCCTTGCTTATTGGATAAAGCCTGTTGTCCCTCTTCACTAGCTCTGCCTCTTTTACCTAACCAACTCAGATGGCCTCAGACCTCAGTTCTTCAGTTTCTAACCAGTTCTCTTTACTTTGTTGGTGATCTCATTCAGTCTCCTTACTGAGAATGTAGCCAGGCAGTTCCACAGAAATGACCAGTGCTGATTATTTATTCGTAAACATTTATATTCAAATATATACATTAGTGACTTACATAGCTCACATTATATGATTTTTTTTCTGTCTCAACTGCTAAATTTATTTTAAGAAGGAAACTTTCCAGAATATCAGAAGAGAATTTTAATAATGTTTTGCTTGAATTTTTGCTAATTCAGAGGATGACTTCGCATCTTAATTTTACTTAAAATAATATGTATTAGTAGATTTGTAGACAGTGGGAATTTTATTGTCAATTTAATGATCGAAGTAGAGAAATATATACATAGAACTGTGGTTGTTTGCTCCTTCTTTGATCTCTTGTATTTGCTACATTCACTATACAAAACTGTTCATGAAAATTATATTAAAATAAAATAACAAAGCTCTTCCATATGCAGCTCAACATAATTTTGACACTGAAATGGATGAAAACCAAGGCTCTTTTCTCAGGAATACCTCATAATTCTGGTTTCTGGATATGACATGTGGAAATTATCCATGTTGCCATTCTTTCCTTGTGCAGGAAGATTTGTCTTTGCTAAGAGCTGCAGTTTTGATGAAAGCCTGGAGTGTTTCTATCCAGACTGTAATGGTACAGTGACACGGCATCTGAGAAGCTCTTTTGAGGTGAGTGTTCTCTACCGGAAACCTGAGCTCTGACTTCTTTCTAAGAACCCATGGGGTTTCAGGACCAGCCCCCACTACCCCATCCTAACCCAGTGGTGTTTACACTTTGCTTCATCTTCTTTCCCAAATTGGTGTTTGTTGCCCGGACATGTCCATGCAGGGAGTCTTCCTGCCTTTGTACTGATACTCTGTTTATGCTTCCAGTCTTAGGATCTTTTCCTTAAAAGTTGTTTTTCATTTTTTTGGGGGGGGAGGTTCGCTATAGGGCATGTGCGCTCGCCAGACAGACAGAGAGAGACATAGAGACAGAAAGCGGGAAATCGCCCCCCAGGGGGGATGGTCACGCCGTAATCCTTTCTCCTCCATTCTCCTCTCAGGATCTTGGGCATGCACGCACATGCGCCCGGGTTGAGTTTTAAGCCACCAGGTCCGGGACGCGAACTGCAGTCAACTACGTGGGAGTCCAGCGACATAGCCATTACGCTAACTGCTGGTTCCCAGTTTTCAAAGTTATTCGATTCCATCTTAGTGTGTCTCACTCCTAAATTCTATGTCATTTGTGGCAATGTTCATCTATTTATTTCACTTTCTTTGCTCAGTATTGCTTCCTCTAGACTGGGCTGTCCCATCTTTTGTCATTTTTGTAGTTTTTAAGATGTGTTTTTCTATTTTCTTTGGAAGCTGTTGCTGAGTTGCTTTCTTAGCTCCCTTTAGCTATTGAGGGAGAACTGTTTTGTCAGGCTGTTATTTTACTATCCTGATCAGTTGGCCTAATGGTCTGTGTCTACCTTACTGCCTACAGCGAGGGTTGGGTAGCACAACTGCTGAGGTTGTGGGCACACCATGGTGTTTGGTTTTGATGGAGGAATGTAGCCTAAAGGACAGGGAGAAGTGCAGAGGAGGAGAGTTTTTGCTCTGTGCATGAACTCATACAAACTCAGAGACTGGTTTGTGAGACAATAGATTTCCACCTCTTTCAGCTGCACAGAGAAAATTCTCCTCAAATTTACTCCGTATTTCCTATTAATGTCATACATAACACATTAGGCTGTTCTAAAACAATATCTTTGGAACTATCACAGTAGTAGGCATCATCTAGATGCATAATAGATGTTGAAGACATGAAATTCTTGAAGTTTTTCTATATGAAAGAAAAAGTTTTATTAATCCAAAAAAGTGTGTATGTGTGTATGTGTGTGTGTATGATCTTCTATAAAGTAAAATGATGTATAATCATTAGTCTCAGTATCTAGCATGCTAAGAATTAACCTCTAAAAAATTATTAGAAAACGATGATCCTTTATAGGAAGAGCTTTGGACAATGTTGAAAGCATCTTTATATAAGCATTTTTTTTTAAAATCAAATATGATCAACCTTTGTTTCTCTTTCTCTTGTCCTTTCCTTTCTTTCTTTTCTCTTTGCCTTTCTTCTTCTCATTATAAACCAACAAACTACAGTCATATATGGTATGATGTACAAAGTGATGATATCGTGCATGAATAAAATATGAAATAATTCAATCAAGGTAATTGCCATTTCTACTGACTCAGGAACATCTCAAGTTTTGTGAAAATTTTGAAATATAGTGTCTTAGATATTTTCTAATGAGTAACATCCTTCATTGCCATGCTTAGTGTATTTATCTATATATCTGCCAAAACTAAAACCAACACAAAATAAACCAAAATAATTTCTCCTGTCTCACCAGGCTTCACAGCCTTTGACCATCATCTCTTTATTCCTCCTCCTGGTATCATTGATGTGTTCTAGAAACATCAGTGCTCAGTATTACTTTAGATGCTTGTGGTCAGGTACATGTGTTAGAATCTTATAATGGTACTCACTAGGAACTCAAGTTGCCGTAGTCAAATATGTAGATGTGGCAAGAAGAATAAAACGACAAAAATAACATATTTTTGCATGTTAGCAAATGAGGATTAAGCATTTCCTTCAGCACCAACTGCAAAAGACTCCAGCTTACTCTGTTTAAGACACACAGTACCTAGTGGGGCCGTCTGGAGAAATACAAAGATTTTCATAAAGAAAGCTGTGAACCCCATAATTGGCAAATCATAATGTTTACTAGTTTCTTATTTTGTACACAGCTTTTATAAATGGAATGTGTTGCTAAATTTTCAGGAATTAAATGTGCAGAGCATTTTAGGTAAATGTATTAAGAAATACTCAGCGGAGTTATTTCACATTGGGGTATTCTTTATAGACAATGGGTAATGTCATAGAAACCACACTTACAATCATTGTGAGTGTGCAATTCATGATTGGAAATGTAGGGAATGGATTCATCGCACTGGTGAATGGCATCGACTGGGCAAAGAGAAGGAAGATCTCCTCAGCTGATCGAATTCTCACTGCTTTGGCGATCTCCAGAATTGGTCAGCTCTGGTCAGTATTCACAAATTGGTGCCTTTCTGTGTTCAATCCAATTTTGTTCATGAGTGAAAAAGTGTTCAGAATGCTTAATACCACCTGGGTTGTGACCAATCACTTTAGCATCTGGCTTGCTACCTGTCTCAGCATCTTTTACTTCTTCAAGATTGCCAACTTTTCTAACTCTGCTTTTCTCTACCTAAAGTGGAGAGTGAAAAAGGTGATCTCAGTGGGACTGCTGGTGACTTTGGTCCCCTTGGCATTTAATGTTGCACTGACAACCACGCATACTAATGTCTTGTTCAGTGAATGTAACAGAAACATGACTTGCAATTCCAGTTTTAGGAATTTGGCACATTTTGCTAGTCTTTTAATTATCAACACTTTGTTCACTTTCATACCTTTTGCTGTGACACTGACAACCTTTCTCCTGCTCATCTTCTCACTCTGGAAACATCTCAGGACAATGCAACGTGATGCCCAAGGACCCAGAGATGCCAGCACCAAGGCCCACATAACAGCCCTGCAGTCCGTGATCATCTTCCTCCTGCTCTATGCCATTTTATTTCTGTCTTATTTTATACCAGTTTTGATCTCTGATTTGCTAAATGAAAATCTGATTTTCATGAGTTTCCAGGCTATTGCAATTTCTTTCCCTTCAGGCCACTCTTGTGTCCTGATTCTGGGAAACAGTAAGCTGAGACAGACATCTCTCTCAGTTCTGTGGGGACTGAGGTGGATGTTCAACTAGGAGACCCTGGGACAGCAGATGATGTGAATGTTAGATCCCAAATAGCTGACCATAAGGTCCAAGTCCTAAGTCTGATGGCTTAAAAAATCATTCCAAGTATTTGTTCAGATGTGCCCAAAATCTCTGGACAAGAATGAGAAGGTTTTGCAGTATGGCCATTCTCTGGTGAGCAGTTTCTAATTTTTTCTCTCTTTCTGATGAGCACACCTGCCCATTGCAAAGCAAAACAATCCAAACAAGAGAAAAAACACATATAAAAACCTGAAATCCATAGACCTCCTGGGAATCATTTTGCACATTACAGAAGAAAATCAGTCTATAAAATTTTCTGTTATTAATATATAGCTCTTCAATGTTTATTCATTATGTGGATGTTTATGAGTTTTACAAAGTTATGTTTGAAATAAGCACTATCTAAACTTATTACAACTTAGTAGAATATATAAAATATGTGTAATTAGATTATTACATAGAGAAAAATGAATTTAAACCACGTATATTGAAGAATATGTTATAGCACAAATGACTGTTGTGCCAATCACTGACTTTTTTTCAGATTTTAAAATGTGAAACCTTTGATATATAAGATATGTGTGTGTGTATTTATGTGGTACATCATTAATAAAGTACAACTCTACAATATTACATATACATAAAGAAAGTTTTACATAGAATATGTGTGCACAATTTCAAATACCACAAAGAAAATCAGCATCTGGACTATTAGAAAACACAAATACCAAGTCTATCATATCAAATGTTAGCCCCAACTTAAAAATGTTTTCTGGACATTCCCCCAAATCACTAGGCTGCTTTATTCCAGGTACTCAAGAGTATTCCAGCACCAAGGCCAACATAAAGACCACGTCAACATGAACACCTCCCTCCTGCTCTATGCCATATGTCTGTATACCTAACCACATTCAAGAATTCTTGGGACATAGTCATTATTTTAGGCCACAAGTGATTTAAAGTTTAAAATATATTGTACTTCCCAATGTAGTTTTCATAAATGTGTCACCATACATTCTGATTTCAGTGCACAAATTATCACATATTGGCTGAGGATAGTCTAAACTGCATACCACTAGTGATTCAATTACATTTTATTTCATCCTTAACCACGTTTCACTGGTTGGTGAAAAATAGCCAGGTTATCACAGAATAGGAATTGAGAGCAACTCATGAGTGATTAACCTTGATTTTGTTTACATATGGTATTGGTTATATTGTTGTTATTGGTTACATGGCAAAATTAAAGTAATTCCATAACATAGGGAAAACATTTAAAATAAATTACGTTCAGAAAACAGGATAAAGAAGATTGAATCATGGCCACGTCCCCCTGCTCACTGGTGTTAAATCTTCAATGTAAAAGAATCCCGGACATCTTTGGAAATGAAAGCTCTGTAGTGACAGCTTATGTGCAAAAGATTTCCTTTCAAACAACAGGTAGAGTGTTTGGACTAGATTTTCTTATTCTCTTAATTTTAATAGTTTTTTGGTTTCCTAATATAGTTTATTCAGAACATTCATTTATTCATTTATTGTACAGATACACTGTGAACAAATTTTATTTGCCTTTTGGAGACACTTCAATAAGAAATATTTTTTTTTCTTTTATTTAAAAACATTTTTTTTCCATTTCATTTTCTTCCATACATTCAATCACATTATTATTTGGCTTATAAAATAGATATTTCAACAGGTGAACATTTCTCCCTGTACCGTTGATAAAACTACAAAATATCTTCAACAGATAATACCACACCTCTTTGTACCATTAATGATTTGCCTCCCTGTTCCTCCCCCAAAAGTCCTTTCTTAGACCCTTCTCTTTCACACACACTATATCTGGTATTTACATCTATATACTGTGTTTCTATATCCTTTAGTCAATTAGTTTCAGTCATAGAGTGTAGACACTAGGTATTATTAAGTAGGGACATACAATGCCTCTCCATAGCATGGCTTGCTTCACTCAGCAGTAAGTCTTCCATATTCATCCACTTCCTGTCAAAAGCCAGGTTTTTTTATGGCTAAATAGTATTCCACTGAGTACATGTGCCACAGTTTTTCTATCCATTCATCTGTTCGTGGGCATTTGGGTTGTTTCCATGACTTAGCAATTGTGAATAGTGTTGCAATAAACATCGATGTGCAAGCACTTTTCTGATTAAGTATTCTTCTGCCCTTTGGGTAGATAACAAGGAGTGGGATTGCTGGATCATATGGTGGTTCTATTTGTAGATTTTTGAGGAATCTCCAAATTGTTCTCCACAGTGTTTAGACCAATTTACATTCCCACCAGCAGTGTAAGAGAGATCCTTTTTCAACACACCCCTGTCAGTACTTATCATTTTTTTTTTAAACTTAGACATTCTGACTGGAGTTAGGTGATATCTCATTGTTGTTTTGATCTACATTTCTCTTACAATGTGGGATGATGAACATTTTTTCATATGCCTTTTAGCTATTTGTATGTTATCTTTAGAGAGTGTGTTTTTCATCTCATTCTCCCGTCTTTTAATAGGATTGATTGTCTTTTTCTGGAATGTTCTATGAGAAAGAAAGTGTACATATATATAGTTATCCACTAAAAGGAAGAAGTTTTAATATTTATGTGACAAGTAGTCTGTATGCTTCTGTTAAACTAAACTATTCTGTCCTAAAATGGTCCCTGTACTCCCACATTTGGATCCCTCTGGCTAAGCTGAAATCATATCTGTTAGGCTCTTTTTGTTTTTCATTCCAGCTGGTTACTAAGTTAAAGCAAATCACGCTAGTCAGCTTTTTAGTTGGTCACAGAAAGCCCACCTTTTAGGCAGTTTGTGCAGCTGCCCTTCCACCTGTAACCAACACTCTCTACCTCACTCTCTCACTTACTTTTTTGTACGACACCCTCCCTTCTTCATGCACACATCACTTTCCCCATTCCACCCACATATATTCCCTGTAAACCACAAGGCTAGCTATAGTCTCTCAGAAACCATTTTACTTAAAGCTGCCAGATTTAAATAAACTGTTAAATTTTGGTTTGCCTAAATTTGTTTTTAGCTCTTCATAAGATTTCATACTTTTTTCATAAAAACAATTTGAGTGCCGAGATGCTAGGAGACTTACCCACAGTGAGTGAAGAAACAAGCAAAGAGATGCAGTAATAACTTTCATGATCATGGGGCTTATTTCAAAATTCTAAGGAAACATCACCAGGGAGAGGCTGCTCACAGCCATATCTGGAATCTGGTGCAAATAGTCCATAAAAGATGTAATGAGTAATATGAATATTTTAAATATTCTTTGTGATATTTGTTTTATGTATTTAATATCTGGTAAGTTATTAATGTTTATACAAAAAGTTAAATGTTTCTGTTTGCTGAACTAAAACCCAGCTGCCTTATTAATTTTCATGTGTCCCATATTTTAAGCTTATTACCCTGTTTTCTGCAGATGAATAGCCTCTGCATGTAATATTTGATACAGATTATTTCAGTTCTTCTTTTTAATTAATTGCAGTTATTTGTCATTTTTAATTTTTTAAGAATTACTTATGGAATTTTATTTTTCTTTATTATTATTATTAATTCTTAAAATTTGCTATAGGGCTTGGATATTCACCAGAGAGATACAGAGAAAGTGAGAAAGCAAGTCACTTTGTCCAGGACTCAAAACTCATTTGGTTATGTGAGAGTCCAGTACCTTAACCACCCTGTCACCTGCTGGTCCCAGTCACAATTTTTTTATGTTGATTTATCAAATGATTCAGACAATCAAAATGTCAAGAGATTGTGTTGTTAACTGGCTACTTTGTATAGGAAGAGTTTTCTAGTGTTTCCCTAATTAATATAACAAGTACTCTAGCTTCAAGATAATCATTCTCCTCATATTTTTCTGAGGTATCTAGTATAACACATGTTAAAAGGTTATATCCCAGAATTTAGTCAGGAAGATCGAACCACATCAGAAGATAGATTAAGTACCTGAGACTGAACTGGTGAAGTAGCATTTTATGACTTTTGACTAAAACATTGCTGATTTTTTTCTGGGCTTTGTTTTCCTGTTTTAAGGATTTTTTGTCCTGTCTTGAGCTGCCAATAGGTTCATGTACCTACTATTTGAACAGAATCCTTACCTGTTTCCTGACTTTCAGTTTTAGTAAAATTCCTTAGCATTTCTTTGATTTATTATAGCTAAAACTACTTTTCTTGAAATTAAAAAAAATATATTAAAAAATACCTATTTAATGACCATAGTAATCTATATAGCATCAGTTAGGTGCTGCCTTATAGTATATTCGGTCTACTCAGAACTTCACGCCTAAAGTCGGACATGTATTCACAGATATGTACAGCTGAACTTGCTATTAAAAGTAGGTAGGTTATTTAAGAAATTTTGTGAATCTATAAATTGTGTGTGTGGGGGGGGAAATGGAAAACAACTGTCGACACCTGAGATAGTGTGGAAGGAGGGTAGGAAATGGCAGAGGGTCAGAAATAGGGGAACCTTATATATATATAACTAGGAATGGAAAATTATTGATGATAATACATATATGGTTAAGCCACTATGCAGTGTATTCTGGATGGGAAATTACATTTTGTATGTTGTGACTATGCTCAAGGAATGGATGTAAATTAATTAATTAATTTTAAAAATGTTTCAGAAGAAAATTATAGTGCACTTGTCCCTAGATTCTAGCTTTGTTTATATTTTTAGTTTAAGGCATTTTGTGAATCAATAAAATACGAAAAAGAATTTTAGTATGGAAGGGAGAGAGGGGAAAAGGGAAGGACAAAAACAAGTAAAAGTATGCTTAATTGACAAAAAGCATATTACTATAAGTTGTAAGTTATAGAGTGATATCTTTGGCTTAACTGACATTCACGATATTCGTGCTGGAAAGAGAAATGTTGTACATTGTAAAGATGTGATTAAATATAAATCAATAAATTAATAAATAAATTAATTTTTAGAAAAGGTATTCAGTCCCAACTGCTGTG